TAGGTGTGGCCTTTTTTGGCAGGACATTATCAGTATTAACACATTGGATCTGGTTGCATCACGTAAATCACAGTGCCGAAAATATGGGCTGTGGGTTACGTAAGTTGCAAAATCCCAGGCATACGACGCATAGGCCAGGTGCGTGCAAATTCTCATGAGCGGTGCCTCCCCTTTGTAAAGTTATTTTGCGTAAACTTTTTTAGCTTCTTTGCCATTTTCCAATGTCCATAGTTGTCTTTTGATTTGTGTTATCCAGATGGCAATAGCTTATTTTCCTTGCACAGACTCTATATCGTCTCTCAGTGTAGTAAATAACTCGGTGAAAGAAAAGAAAATTATAGAACATTTGCTATTTCTGTCATTTATCTTATTTTTTCTGAATTTTTAATATTCTGCAATACATTTTGCGCTACCGGTCACAACAGCCACGGATACAACATACAGCATTAAATTGGCATCCTCCCTGGAGCTGGCACTCTTCCAGTTACGGCATACGCACGTTACATTCCACATTCATTTATTGATGGGAGTAATGCTAAAACCACCTTCTAAGTGCCACTCCAAGAGGTTTGTGCACTTGTGGCAAGTCTTTTCTATCACCCTGGCCTTTGCTCATGATGCCAAGTTCGCGTCACCCAGCCCACGGCCATTTTGTCTAATGACAGCATGGTCACGTCAACCAGCCCTTGGTCCAGATTTTTCCTTAACAGGACCATAACGTCATCTGGATCATAGGGGTTTAAAGTGTTTATGAATAACATTAATACTAAAGTGTATTTATGAATATCTTCATTGCTGAAAGTTAGATTTGCGAATAACATTAATCTATTCTCTGATGGTCGTCTTCTGTCCAGATGCGTATGTCGGTTCTGCTTGCTCAGGAGACAGACGATGTCACAAGTACAAAGTTGGAGAACATAACAAACACCCCTGTTTCTTCGGCAAAGAAGAAGGCAGGCCGCAAACATTCCCGGGAGAAGCAGCAGTTTGGCTCTAAGGACAGCGTAAAAATTGTGAATGAAATTGGGGGACAGCGTAACAAGGAAGTATGATAAACTTCTAGTTTTTGGTTCAATGCCCTTAAACTTTACGGACAATGTTTAAAGGGGAAGTTGAATGATATCTGTATTTCTGGTGGTGGTGATGCTTCGGTTTTAATCTTAGACTTAGTCTCAGTATTTGTTCTAAGGGATTAGTTATTTTAGCAAACTGCTCAACTTTATTTCATAGTTCATAAACAACTTTCCTTTAGATGAAATAGAGTTTGTATGAACTATAGTTAATTGAAGTGCATGGAGGTTACTGTGGATGGATTTTAATGATCAAGGAAACTATGATTTTTGAAGTTACAATAGTCTTAATGACGTCAGGCACATACAGTGTTAGTGTGTCACTCAAGTTTTTAAAGTTGTTCATAATATGCATACTAGTACCTCAAGCATTAAATAAAGCTGAAAACTTGATGAACTTTAAAGGTTGTATTTATTTTCAGACTGTGAGAGTGAGGAAGGCATAAGAAGTGAATGCTGTTTAGTTTAAGAGTACTTGATGTAATGATATCACACAATGTTCATAGATTTTATTTTTTCTTGTTCAGTTACAAGATGGTTCAGTTTGGTTTTGTGAAAATGTAATTCTTTATGTCAAATATTTAATATCGCAGGCCAAGATCATTATGATTTAAGAATAAGGTAAGGGTGGTTTAGATTAGAATGATGTTGCAGTTGAGCAGTCATGTTGTCTGCAGAATTTAGTTGAAAAGTAATTAAAGTTAGTAAGATTTTATTCTTTGAATATAGAATAAAGTGTTGGAAATAATGTGATGTTTTAGCAAGACTGAAAGACAGCAGATCTATCATTTTGAAAATTCAATCAGTATTTATTTGTTTTTCTTTGTCTTCTTTTTCTTCTTCCATTTTACAAGAACAGTTTAAGTCTTTTAGGAAAGTGACTTGATATTTTCTTAGCTGCAGTTGAATAGAATTTTGCTTGTAACTGATTTCCTTGTTTACGTCCGTAGCCTGTGGACCCGGCAGAAACGCGTAGCTTATTGGATGAGGACAAATCAGAGGTTGACACTGGCGTTGATAGCAGCCAGGACCCAGCCCTACAGCAAACAGTGCTGGATCCTGAGGAACAACCTCAAAAGGAATTGCGAGCCCCCCAGGCAGAGGCAGAGGTCGATGAGGAGGAAATTGGAGAAGAGGAGCCGGAGTTGGAAGAAGAGAATGGGGAAGAAGTCGAAGGAGAAGACAATGACACTGAGAATTCCCTCAACTCCCTCCCCACTTTAGCCATGAGGTGTGCTCCCAACTCAGATGTCGATGTGGAGGACAGCATATCACAGGCCCCAACAGAATCACCTGTTTGGACCCCCAGAAAGGTATTATTGAACTCTCTCTGACCTCTGGTTTCATTCCTTTTTACCAAACACCCTGCAGACTCCCTCACTATATTGTAGACAGAGATGATGTGCAGGGATAGGATGTATTTTGGGCTT